GGCAGCCCTGAGAGACTAGATGGCAGATGTTTTATTTGGTTTTAAGTCAGAGTCTCACTGTGTCGCCCAGGCTGGAGTGTAGTGGCACAGTCATGGCCACCGCAGCCTCAACCTGGGCTCAGGTGATCCTTCCACCTCAGCATTCCAGGTAGTTGGAGCCACAGTCAAGTGCCACCATGCCTGGCTAATTTTTTGTTTTATTGTAGAGACAAGATCTCGCCAAGTTGCCCTGGCTGGTCTCAAACCCCTGGACTCAGGCAATCCTCTGGCTTCCACCTCCCAAAATTCTGGGATTACAGGCGTGGGCCACTGGGCTGACTGATGACAAATGTTATAAAAAGTGTCTGTTTCAGCCGGGCTCGGTGGCTCAGCCTGTAATCCCAGCACTTTGAGAGGCCGAGTCGAGTGGAATGCCTGAGCCTGCAGGTTTGAGACCCATCAGGGCAACTTAGCAAGATGTTATCTCTACAATAAATCAAAAATGAGCCGGGCGTGGTAGTGCATGCCTGTAGTTTCGGCTACTTGGAAGGCTGAGGCGGAAGGATCGCCAGAGCCCAGCAGGTCGAGGCTGTGGTGGTCAGGAGCGGCCACTGCACTGTAGTCTGGGCAACAGAGTGAGACTCCAACGGAAAAAAAAAAAGTGTCTGTTTCCTCTGGGAATCCCCAGGAAGGGGATTCTACACAGATGCAAATTTCCCCAAGAGAGGGCTTTTCAATGTCATAAAATATTTTTTATTTCCTTCTTGATGTTTCACCAGAATCAGATTGGAAAATAAGTCACATTATATAGGGTTAATAAAAACCCATCTGGCGGAATGAGCCCAGCAGGTCGAAGCTGGGGTGGCCATGAGTGTGCCACTGCACTCTAACCTGGGTGATGAAGTGAGACTTCAACTAAAAAAAAAAAAAAAAACCATCTGGGTCTGTCATGGTGGCTCACACCTGTAATCCTACCACTTTGGGAGGCCAAGGCTGCAGCATCACTTGAGCCCAGGAGTTCAAGATCCAACTTGGGCAACATAAGGAGACCCTCACCCCTACAGAGAAATTTTTTTTTTTTTTTTTT